AATACTATTATTATTGTCATTATTATTATTATTATTATTATTATTATCATTATTATTATCATCATCATCATCATTATTATTATTATTGTTATTATCATTATCATTATTACTATTATTAACATTATTATTAGTAGTATTATCATCATCTGCATTATTATTATCATTATTGTTGTTATTATAATAATAATAATTATTATTATTTTTATCATTATTACTATTATCATTATTATTACTATTGTCATTATTATTATAATCATTATTATCATTATCATCCTTAATGTTGTTATTATAACTATTATCATTTTTGTTATTATTATAATTATCACGATCATCCTTATCATTATCATTATCATAATTTTTACTGTAAACATTATTTTTATCATCGCTATTATTGTCATCACCATCATTATCCTTATTGGTCAGATTCCCGATATAAAGGAGAGGAAAACTAATATGCATTTCGTGACGAGGTGCCAAATCATCTTAAAGTGCTAATTTGCATTTAATCAGTTAATGAGGCTGACGCAACACCTTGTTTACCTGCCTCCGCTTGGGTCCTGGAAAGGGTGTAAGTTCTTTATAAGTTCCTGCGTTGTCATTCTTATATTACTTTCATGACGCGTAGGGCCTTGATGTCCAAAAATAAATGATGAATGTGTGTATATGTAGAAGACTCTTTTTATAGCTCTACTCACGTTAACAGTAATTCATAGGTATTTTCATTAACATTGATGGGATGGCGATTATCAGTATACCCGTAAGATAATTATTATATAAAACAGGAGGGGAATACATGTACAGGTAGAATATAAGCATGTTTTCCCTCGTTAGCTCTGACAAGGAGTCGATAACTTTCCATTAATAGCTGTTGTCGTGTGTGAGAGGTCACTTAATAGGGTAAATTTTGGAGTTTTGGGGTTATATATTATTGCTTTTGTGTTATCATTACCGTCTGTGTTTCTATGTATTACCATTCTGCTAATATAAATAATATTTATCATTATCATTGCTTCTGTTACTGTTGTTACTACTACTATTACCACTGCTATTTTTATTATTGTTATTATTATCATTTTCTTTATCATTGTCGTTGTCATCACCATTATCTTTATCTTTACTATTATAGCTGTAGTTATTACTATCATTAATGTTGGCATGATTACTGTTATATCATCACAAATGAGTGAGATTTTAAGCCATAACTGCATTTATTGTTTTCTCCGCCGTTTACTCAAGCACTCTTTCCTACCAATACTTTTTCCCATTTTATGTACTGTGAAAACAGGAGAGATGAAAAGTGAGAGTTTTGCGAGCTAGTGAAAGGCCAATAACTTTTTTTTTCAAAGCTTACTTACCAGTATCATATACATGTAGTTAACTAATCAAGAACACACATAGGATATTGGTAAACGAATCAAAGTGCTCTCCGTTTAAAGTGTTCTGGAGATTGGTATTAACTATGGGACAATAAATCCATAAAATAATATTCAGTTTATTGAATGCTGTACAGTTATGGGTCAAGACTACACAACTGAAACCTATATTGACGAATAGCACTTCTTAGTATTAGTTTTACTTGGATTTGAAGGTAATGGATCTATTTCACTCTTTCTCTATGAATACGTCTACTTGGATTATTTTTCTTACCATCTATTTTACATGGCATACAACCAATTTGATTTATCACAACCATTCTTTTCCTTCCACAATCTTTTTATTTTCACCCAAAACCTGTTTTGTTTCTACCACAAACTTTTTCATTTCCTCAACAACCCATTTTATTTTCCCCACAACATGCTTCCTCTCTCCTACACCTACATATATATATATATATATATATATATATATATATATATATATATATATATATATATATATATATATATATATATATATATATATATATATATATATATATATTTATATATTTATATATATACACACATATCTATACATATACATATATATACATATATGCATGCATGTATGTATATTCCATCTTAGTCAGACTTTGTGCTCCTTTGATTAATGGAAGTGAGCGTTCAGCGGGATCAGGGTTAGAGTCCGGCTAACGGCACGGGAAGCGAAGAGAAACATAAAGCCAACAAATAAAAATGAAAAAAAGGGAATAAGAAAAACAAAAAGCAAAGAGAAAAATTAAGTGAGTAAATCAATTCGCCAAGAAAAGAAGAAGAAGAAGAAGAAAAACAGAAATGTTCACGGCCAGAAAATCAAGAGATTCAAGAAAACGAAGAAAAGGAAATCCGAAATAATTAGTGCAGATAAGAAACTCTTCAAAAGTTATCACTCTTTAATCCATCTACTTTGAAACTACAACAAAGACACGTTGAGGCCAAAGGATGCGATTGACGAGAAACGAATCCACGAAATAAATAAATAAATAAAAAAAGGAAATAAGCAGGATGAGAAAAAAAAAAAAGACGAAGGCATCACACGGGGTAACGTTGATATGCCAGACGTTAAGTATCGGGATCCACAG